TAAAACCCACCACTTTGTTACCTCACATTCGCAAATTTCAAAGTTCCGCAATCCACTTCACTCACCTTACACTTTATATCTTACAACTGATCCTCTTTAAATTCCTTGCATTTCGTATCATAATGTTTGTGGTTTCGTAAAAAAAGCATACAAAAAAAAAAAATATTATTGAGTGGCAGATTAATATGCACCATTAAAACATCCACCGCGACATACGGTACTTTTTCCGGAACACGTGACGTACGCATGTATGTATGTACACTTAGATTCCAGCCAAAATGTCGAATCAGAAGGGTAATCGCGATGTCAGTACCCACCCTCTTTGCACTTCCTACCGAAACGCTCTTTCAAATTATTTCCCATCTTGGTACTGCTAATCTAAAACAGCTTTCCCTTACTCACCGCTTACTTCATACGCTAATTCCACGGTATCTGTTTAGATCTGTCACCGGTTATAATATATCATTATTTTTCTTACATATAATCGTGCCAAAGTATGGAAAGTACTTCAGGAGCCTTACCATTCAAGGACAAGTCTCACCAGAGTTTACCGATCGTCTTGCAGAGTTGTTGAAGGTTTTGGATACGCGATGCGATCTCCTTGATGATTTTAATATTATAATATTCGAGCAGACGCCCGGAATATTGGAATTAAATCCGCCCAGTTTTAGTCACACTCTTCGCAGAAGATTTCCAAGGCCTTTGAAGTTGACATGTTCGGCACCCTTGATAACTTTCTTAAAACCGATTTGCTTTCCTACACAAGTTGATTTAGCGGAAGATTCCACTAGTACAGCCAACAACGCAGTTTCGAGTTTATGTGTCCACGCGGTTATCCAATCTGTCTGGTCACTCAATCACTATTTAGAACTATACGGTTCGCAGATAACACGTGCACACTTATCATTTGAGGGCCTTTCCGATATATGGATTTTGCGGCTGATAGGCACCTGTTTCCTTTTGCAAGAATTGGTTTTAGAAAGAACGTATGTTGATGACGACATCGAGATCACCGATGCAACATTAAATGAATTATGCATGCTTTCGGAGTTAAATTCTCTCGCGTTCGTTTCTAAGTGTGGTGTTCCTCTAACATACCGGTTTTCACTCGCAAGCTGGAGGACAATGCTGAATGGCACTCCTAAACTAGAGAAAATAGATTTATCAGGACTCGACCCGTTTTTCATCTCTAGAGCACTACCTTCGATTGCCGAGAATTATAAATTTCGACCCTTATGGTAGGAAAAATTTTCTTATTTGTCGCAATTCTTCTCACGGTATAATAAATAGTATAATAATGATGGCTTGCATGTTCAATTATATTGTTTCACCTAAATTGGTTAATCAATCATTAAAAGGTTGAAACACACAAATCCTTTGAACAAATTACCTTTTAAAAAAGAATACGAGCGAGAACTTATAAATTTAATTAGAATATGTCGAAGGAATTTGCTTGCACTTGAATCAAGCTATGTCACCGACGAAGTCATCAGATGCTTAACTGAAAATTCGCCTGAAATTGATAGTCTTTGCTTTGGAGGGGAATTACTCAATGAAAGAACCAAATCTTTGGAAATTATCAACAAACATTTATTAAATTTGGAAAATTTTCGTACTTGGAATATATCAAAACGTAAGTGGCCCATTGGACTTTATGAAAGGTTTGGCTATACGAAAATTTATAATCGCATAGAGGATGAGGATGACGAATATGAAGAGATTGAGGATGATGACGATGACCTCACTGAAGACGATCTATGTGAACCAAAAGGTTGGAGCAAATTTAATAACCGACGATTTTCACATAATTTATCTCGATCTAATATTGGAAAGAACTATCGATTGCAAATGTGGATTTGTGCAATATTCATAACCTTGGTTTCATGTTATTTAATGAGACAAATAGGAACTAGAAATTAGATTTACTTTATTTATTTTTCACTCTTGTACTTTATATATATATATTTATATTTATATTAATATGGTGCAAATTCATAATTCAATAACTTTTTATCATTATTTCAAAGAGACTACTGGGAATCGGGAATGGTATTTAAATTCAAAATTCGCCACTTTATTCACTAATTTATTTTCCGTAGGAAGGGTTGCCGTTCCTTCAGTTCGCGAATGTGACGCGACTGTATCCGGTATCGCTTGTTTATTCTTTGGTTGCTTTTTTTGTTTCTGTTTTTGTTGTTTCCGTGATTTCTTAGTCTTTTCGCTCTCGATAACTGGGTTTTGCTCACAATTTGGCTTAAGTTCATCAATTATCTTATGCAAGCTAATGATATTAGCAATGCAAACACGAAGCATTGCTTGTAAATCCTTTAAAAAGAACATATAAATTAATTTTTTCTATAAAAAAAAAAGAAATCAAGAATTTGATGTAAATTTCGGAATTTATATACTTTAATAAATTCATCTTGGCAAAGCTCCATTCTAGTTTGGGATGGTTTCATAGATAATAAGCTTTCTATCGAAGATCTAGCAGACTGAAAGTGTTGTAGAGAAATGTTCATGAGATCGATCGCCTTATATAATGGGTGAAAGAGAATCATTAGGATGATCGTCAACATCAACAAACACTTTGAGGAAAATTTCTATTGAAAGAAATGAATACCCTAATATTCTCTGAGCGGGTGGTCTCCTTGAAATCTTGGAATGTTAGTGTCGTTGGACTTCCCAAGTTACCGTACATTCGAAACCTATGCCAAAATCGGGCATTTTCATCATCGAATTCCAGCTTCGGCGGCACATAATGCCCCGTCTTCTGAAGTGCTATTATAGCCTATTGACAAGAGTAATTTTTGACTCAATAAATCCATATATAATTTTTTCTTTTTTTTAAAAAAACCTTTAATTACCCTGTGGATTCCACGACAAATATCTTGCTTTGCCATAGTCAATATTTGTTGACTGATTATCAATGACACAGAAGAAGACGGAGAAGGTGAAGATTGAATGTGCGTGGGTGGTTTTTTGAATTTTCGGTGGTCTTAAATGTATGCATGTGTGAAATTAAAACCAATAAACCTGACCGAAAACCGTCAATTTACGTAAAAACAAAATCCATACCAACTACGTGAAGATGCGTCCTTTCCAGATGTCTATAATGAACGCCCAATAAGTAGTCCAAGTACCTATGTCAATGAAAAGATGCAAACATATTTAATTTGTCGAGAAAGAATAATGGTGAGATAGAACCATGAAAGTTAATCTCACCAATATATCATGACAAATTCGTGGTTCCCGTACAAATCCAGCTCGAATCCAAGGAACAAAACATCCTCTAATAATGTTAGTTTTCTAACGTAAACCCAGGAGGAGAGATGAAAAGAATATGAAGGTCCTTCCTAAGGGATCTTGATTAATGTCGTCCCGCATAAAATTTAAATTAATGAGCTGCCTTTTATGAAAAATTCGAGCTCACCTCAGTTTCCAATGGCTCTTCCTTTGCCAGTGATTGTAGTTCAGTATCTATATGTTCTGCCTGGTAGTTATTTTTTTAGAATTAGAGTGAGGAAAAAAGTGCTACGCTTTTTATTTTATGCTAGGAGAACAAAAATAAAGCATACTTCTTCTTGTAGCAAATCCCAGTCGGCTATCACTTTACACATGTTTCGTCGTTGTCTCGAACGATTGTGACACAGAATTCTAAAGTAATCTGTCAATGGCTTTATTTGAGGTTCGAAAAAACCATATCACTATTTGCATCATAGGACTTAATAAATTCAGATATTTTATATAGTACCTTTACTGCACTGTCAATGAACGTGTGTACTAATTTCGAAATTTTCACCCTGTTTTCGTCAATACGCGAATCATTGGTAGATGTTCCAACGTCTGTTTTGGATGCAAAATAGGCATACGGTGGGTTTGTCAATTCTGTGACAGAATCTTTTACCAATTGAAATATCGAAATCTTTCCGAGAATAC